TTTTTTTTCTTTTTTTTGGCAAACAAGTGACGTCTCGGCTTGCTAAGAATAGCCAAGAATCAAAAATATCTGGAGGCGAACGATTCTCAAGGAAATATATATTAACAGCAAGAGCAACGATGACAGTGATAAATAAACAAAAAGTATGTTATGATAAATAGATATAATATAATATAGTAAATAATTAATATAATGTAAGATAATATAATATGATATAATACAATAAATAAAATATAATATGATATAATACAATAAATAAAATATAATATGATATAATACAATAAATAAAATATAATATGACAAATACTTCACAAAGTATAATATGATATAATATAATAAATAAATAATATAGTAGAATACAATATGATACAACATAATATAAATTAATATGCAATTACTGTCCTAGTTTACATCGAATCAAGATATATTGCTGAAGCTTGCTCGCGAAAATACGCCTTTCTGTTGAAACTTACCGCCTCCGACTTGGTTGTCTTGAAGTGCAGGTGATTCTGGCTTGGCTTTGGTCTGGCGTGGCTTCATTCTTCGTGAAAAAATAATTAAAAAAAAATTGATACTATAAATCAATTAAATTCGATCATATGGAACGAAATAGGAGATGAATAACGGATAAAGGTGCATGTAAAGAGAGTAGAATAAAACGAAAGAGATAAAGGAAGAAAGAAAGAAAGGCAATATGATTTATAACAAACATCAAAATCTCTGCAAATTAACTTAAAACTTAGCATAAGACAAAGGCATAAGTTCCTCAAACAAACACCTTAACACAACCATGTAAACCACAAATGAAACTACAACACACCGAACACATACAAACCACCCAAACAACAAAAACAAAAAACAACAACAAAATACAACAAAAACAAAAACAACCAAATACAACAAAAAACAAAAACAACAACAAAATACAACAAAAAAACAAAACAACAACATACAACAAAAACAAAAACAACAACAAAATACAACAAAAAACAACACAACGAAAAACAAAAAGCAAAAACAGCAAAATACAACAAAAACAAAAACAACAAAAACAAAATACAACAAAAAACAAACAACAGCAACAACAACAAAATACAACAAAAAATCTAAATACAACAAACAAACAAACAAAAACAAACAAACAAACAAACAAACAAACAAAAAAACCCCACCTGGCAGCGAAATGCAACGGCGTCAGATCATCCAATCCTTTAACATTCACATCTGCCCCATTTTCAAGCAGGAGTTGAACCGTAGAAACCTGGTTGTAGCGCGTGGCATAGTGCAGGGGTGCCAATTGGTCTGAATTCAGCAAGTCTACATTTTCTTGGTTTTTCACTTTTAGTTGAATGACTTCTGTGTTTCCCATTTCTGCGAGCTGGAAGGAGGAGGGGGGGGGGGGAAGGAAGGGGATGGGGAAGAGAGAGAGAGGGAGGGAGAAGGGGAGAGTAGTCTTGGTAAGGATGTTTTTTATTTTTGTTTTGTTTTTGGTTTCAATGTAAAAAAAAAATCTTCTTTTCATTAGCTCTCTTTGTCTTTTTTTTTGTGTGTGTTATTGTCCCCTCTCTCTATGTCTCCCTTTCCTTCTCTCTCACATTCTTTCTTTCTCACTCTCTCTCCCTCACTCTTTCTTTACTCCTCTCTCTCTCTCTCTGTCTCTGTCTCTCTCTCTCTTCTTTCTTTCCCTTCTTCTCTCTCTCTCCCTCACTCTTTCTTTACTTCTCTCTCTCTGTCTCTGTCTCTCTTCTTCCTTTCCCTTCTTCTTCTCTCTCTCTCTCTCTCTCTTCTTTCTTTCTCTTCCTCTCTCTCTCTCTCTCTCTCCCTCTTTCTCTCTCTCTCTCTCTCTCTCTCTCTCTCCCCCTCCCTCCCTCCCTCGCTCTCTTTCTTTTCTTTCTTTCTTTCTTTCTTTCTTTCTCTCTCTCTCTCTCTCTCTCCCTTCCTCCCTGACTTGCTCTCTTTCTTTTCTTTCTCTCTCTCTCTCTCGCTCTTTCTCTCTCTCTCTCTCTCTCTCTCTCTCTCGCTCTTTCTCTCTCTCTCTCTCTCTCTCTCTCTCTCTCTCTCTCTCTCTCTCTCTCTCTCTCTCTCTCCCTCCCTGCCCCCCTCTCTCTCTCATTGTCTTTCTCTTTATGGCGTAATTACTAATTATCACATACAAAAAAAAAAGTTTTACCTGATGATTAAGTCAAATAAGTTATGTTCTGGCGTGGGAATCGTGCTTACAGTCTTACATATATTTGACATAGTACAGTGTTCTGTGACTACTGTCATTGTACATGATAAGATAAAAATATAAATCATATGGTCTGGAAGACTGTATCACATGACATTCCGAGGTATAGTGTTCAAGGGGTCGCTTGTTTTCTTCGTTACAGTCTACATCTAGTTTCATCTGCACTTCCTTGCACCGTGCAGTTGCTAATACATTCTGTAACCTAAACGTATTCAAGCAATAACCACGTTACATTGTCTGGTTTGACTTCGGTGCCACCTATAGGAAGGCTTCTTATCTCTATACTGATCGTAGTGCCTTATGGTACAGCTTCTGGTACAGTGTCTTTGAGTGTTTGTCAGATCTACTAGTTATTCCATATGAGAACTTTTCAATATTTATGCAACCCTAGCAAGAGGCATCCCAAGATCTAAGTTCACAGTATCTTTGTTGTAGGCTTCCCTCGCAAATTTGTCTACGTGGTCGTGCTTGCGTATACCAACATGAAATGGTGTCCATACAAATTGAATGTTGAAATTGCGCTCTATTTCGTAAGTTACGTTACACTTAAAGCAACTCACAATTTCCTCATCGCCACCTGCTTTGAAAGAATTTAATGTCCGAAAAGCACTTTGAGAGTCACAGAAAACTACTCCAGAGCCCCGACTCATTAGGAATTCCGTTGCAAGGAGTATAACTGCCAACTCCGTTTGTGTAGTGCTGGCTCAATTTTGTACTCCCATATTAACTTGATGTTGTAGAAAGCCATTTTTGTATACATCGCAAGCACAACCAGCTTTGTATCCAGACTGTACGGATCCGTCAGCGTAACACTCGTATACGTCATGGCCCATAGATTGAATTTTCCCATGGTGGAATGAATCGACCATTTGGTATTTTACTAATTGGGACATTGAGCTTTGTACTGTTCATGAAGATATCAGAGGGCGTGTGTGTGTGATTAGTCACGTTTGCTTCCGTGAATTTATGTTGCAGTTGCTTTTGGAAATCTGAAAAATACACGGGTTCCCTCAAAGCTTTGAACCCAAATGTCGTGGAAATGAATACCATTCTATCAGGAATTAATGTAAGCTTAGTTATGATCTCATGTTCACTATCCTTGCTGTTCTCGGGGCGCCGAGGATAATCCTTATAGCTTCATTTTGCACCACCTCCAAACTATTTATTTCTCATCCCTTACACTAAAACAAGTGCAGTGCATGGCAGTCTACAATCGTAAAACAGTCTAGCGAGCTTAACAATGATGCTATGTTCTCTCCCGACAAGAACTTTCAACGGTTACAATTTCTCCCAGAGTCTCTTCTTTAGAGAAATAATCAGATCTGCATCATTTACATACACCCCGAGATATTTATACTTATGCCACATGTTAAGCTCCTGGTCGCCTATGTGAAAAGTGGGTAGGGGTATGATACATGGGTTGAGAGCCATTGTTTTCTCATGAGCCGTTGTTGTGAGTTTGTCGAGTTTGTCGAGTTTGTCGAGTTATTTGCATACTCTCTTGTGATGATGCTCTGGCATATATGTCATCAGCATAGCATATAATGGATTCACCATCCCCGTGTAGAATATCTGTCACCAGCGTGTAAATGAGGACATTGAACAGCATTAGGTTGAGACTCCTCCCTGTGGCGTCCGAAGTTCAAACACCCCTAAGATACTTGCAGATATGTGAGAAAGATACATTCTAATCCAACTCAATGATTTACTCCAGATGCCAAAGCTTACTAACTGTTTGTAGTGTCAAAAGCTGACTTAAGGTCCAGAAAAACAGCGTTAGAGCTCGAAAAGTACTATGCAAAGCAATGTTAAGGGCAATGTCCCGATATAAATCCGTACATTCAGTGAGATAATTTCCCTTGTAACCTGTACCTGAGTCTGTTGAAAATGATTCTTTCTAGAACTTTATATACACATGAGGTTAGTGAAATTGTGCGGTATTTATCAGAGTTTGGTTTCGGCATAGGGATGATTAGACTGCGCGTTCAGGGGCCAGGCAGAATACCTTGTGACAAACTTAACCAGGTACCTGTGCTATAAGGCAGAGAACACTATAGGTAAATCCATCCTCACCTAGGGGGGACAATTTTCCTTTGATTAGTGCCTCTCAGTAAAGTCTGAAGGTTCGGTATCAGAATATCCAATCTCAATAGCAAATTTACGTGCCATTTTAGACTGATTAAGGTGATTCTAAATATTTGTGGGAAGGGATCTCAGTTTGGACGCTCCAGCCCAGTGACTAAGGAACATATTTGCTTGTGCAAGAGGATTATACCTGATGAATGGAGTGAGACAGATCGCTCTGGACCCGTAGACTTTCGCTCAGCATGCTCACTCGACAAGACCTGGACCTTGCGAATCCATCTGATCTATAAAAAAAAAAAAAAAAAAAAAAAAAAAAAAAAAAAAAAAAAAATATATATATATATATATATATATATATATATATATATATATATATATATATATATATACGAATAATAAAAAGAGAATAATGCAAAAAAGAATAACGATTTGATTGGGAGACAATGTAACAGAATAAATATGTAAATAGGAAAATTACATGGAATATACAAAATGAACCAATGGAGTAAATCTGTAAATAGCAAAATCATAAAAATAAGCATGACTTATTCAAATAATAAATGATTTAATTAAGATATGTAAATAACAGAATCATATGAATAATTAATAATTTGCTAGGGAAACGAGAAAACAAAATTATAATAATACACATGAATTTATAAAATTTATAAAATTTATAAAATTG